GTGTACCCTCGGACAGCAATACGCATTGATTGTCGTCGCTGCGAAAAATTCATCGAGGCTTTTTCGCATCGTAGCTTGATTATTTAGCCAGAGAGCTTGTGACGCACGCGTGCGTGCAGGTAATTTTTCAAATATTGCGCATCTCTCGTATTCGTGACGGCCTACATAACATTTACGAAAGCCATTTACGAGAAAAACAATCACCGTGACGAGGAATGGCTTTAATGTACATGAATCAAGTCTCTCGATACTTTTTTAATATCGCTTTTAATTTGAGCCAAATGAAAATTTCGACCCTCCCACGCTTAAGGCATGGTTTGCATTCAAGTATGGAAAGTTCCAGTGGAAATAATGTAAATTCAATGGAACCTATTCACCTCACGAGTACATGTTTTCTCGTACGCTGTACACAGAGACGCGCGCTGGGGGCAGAGCTGTTTTATTAGGCGTAGAGCGCAAACTCGTAGGACGAGTTGCAGCAGAGCGCGCACTTGTCACAGGCGTTATTTTTTATCCCATGATACTGGTACAAAACTCATGCATATTTTTATTTTTTTAATTTTTACTGAATTCCGATGTTCAACTTACCAACAATGAACAATGAACAATTACAAATGGGAATCGCGATCAGTGACAAGGAAAATCTAAATAAATCGTGAATAGGTATCATTAATCCAATTCATGACGATTTTCACATCAAGAGGGAGATACAGTCCTCTAAGGGTTAAAAAGTTTTCTTAAAGCGAGATTATAGTAAATGAGCTCAAGGTAGCTTGAATTATGCACCTGAAAGATTTCGGGCTTAGGTTTCACTGTTTCTCAAGGCAATTCTTGATGTTGTTTCTTGTTTCGATCGATAAACAAAAAAATTTCAATTAAGTCTAGCTGCGAGCCGTGGCAAAGGCAAAATTGAAACGCGTCGGCTGATTACGTGCACGCGCGATAATATACTCGTAGTATACAGCCGCGAAAAAGCTCTCGGTTCGGAATTATAGTCAGAGCGTACAAGCGCGAGAGAAAGACAGAGAGACAGAGAGAGAGAGAGAGAGAGAGAGAGAGAGGGAGATAAAGAGGGGAGAGGGTCTGGCTCATACAGATTCTCTGGAATGTCGGTGTCGACGAGAGGGGAGAGGTGGGCAAAGGGGAAAGAGAGAGAAGCTCGTTAATTATTACTCGTGATACGTGCGAATACGGTGAACTGTGCATGTATGTACGAGCGAGTATATATATAGAGAGAGACACATAGTACGTGGGGCAACGACGACGACGACGCATATCCGTGGCACGCGCTCCGAATTGTCCGCGAGCTTCCGACACTAGGCTCTGCCGCCGCCGCTGTATTCAGTATGACCGCTCCTGCTTCGGCTGCGCATGTATATCGCCGCATAGACGGCATACTATATGTGTGTGTGTGTGTGTGTGTGTGTGTGTGTGTGTGTGTAGGTATAGCTATGAGCTTTTAACGGCTTTGTGGGTCAACTTGGGGAATGTACAGCTCGCCGTCCACTGATTATGTGCGTCTGCATTAGGGATTTTCGGGTGAATATTCTCTCTCCCTCTGTCTTTTGCTCTCCTCCTCGCCGCTGACGTCGCCGCCGCTGACGCCAGGACTCGGGCGCGCGCGCGAGCCTGCCTCAACTTCATTGTCCCGGGGAATTATGATCTTTAATGAAACGACTTTATTTCGGCTCGAAAATTGTCGCCATATATCATGGTCGAGAAACTGTTTTATATTATAATACGTGCATTTTATGAAGAATAGCCGACAAAGCTGTTTATATCTGAGTTTTTTAAGCGCTTAATGACCAATCTGTACTCGCAGCTGGAGATTTAATCTAACTTTAATGCCGTCTCTATTTTCACGGCTTATGTAAAGAGACAATCGAAATACTCGTAAATGAACAAGTTGTAGTAACTTTTCGAAGGCTGCAATATCTACTCACGCAGACTATACCTTGATACATTCGCCTAAAAATCTCCTCAACTACTGATCCAAATTCTCTTGCTTCAAGACTTGATAATATAATTGTCCAAATGATTAAATGTTAATCGAGTTTCAATATTGTACTCTGCTAGCTTTTTTCACCAGGAAACATTCTCCACAATCCGCAAATGTGTACAAGTTAAATTAATCGAGCGAGGAACAAGCGAGTCCTCATTGATTAGTGCGTTAAATGATAATTCTCCACTCGACACACGAGGAAAATTGGAAAAAGCTCGCTCACTACTGGACGATCGTCACTTCGTACGAGTGCGGCAACTTTCGTGGCCATTATCGTCCGTTCTCGCAAGGCCTTACGCCATTTCGAATCCAATCAGCTTGATTTTCTTGGATGCCTCGAAGAATAATGCCTGGCAGCAGCCCCTTTATTGGCACGCACTCGGCACGTATCCACGCACGCCCGCAAGATCAATCGCGTCTCATTTGTCAAGCTCGCGCGAGTCCCGGTAAATCTTTGAAAACGTATATACACGGGCTGCGCTCGCATTTGTATGTACATGGCTCGAATATAGCGGACATTCTTTCTCGCCGCTCGTGGAAGTAGGAGAGCGAGCGATAGGGCGGAGAAAGCGGGGAAAAAAAAGTCAGAAGCAGGAAATGTTTTAATGGCGATAGTGCGAGTAGCTATGGCAGCAGCGGGAAAAGGAAACGAGCCGTCACGCGGCGCTAAGCTTTGGAAAAGCACTCAGCGAATAGTGGCATGCACATATATTAGAAATTAAAGCAAACTTTGTGTATACATATGTACCACGCCCCGAGCATGTGTGAGTGAGACATGTAAATTTAGCACCCCCTGCGCAGTTCGCACGCTTATGAACGAGCGCTACACCCCTGCGTGCGATCTCTCTCTCTCTCTCTCTCTCTCTCTCTCAAAGGCTGTAATATGTATGTGTGTTGGTGCGCAGGAGCGTGTAATCGAACTCTGCGCCTATGCTGCGTGTAATGTACACCGATTCACTATATCTATTGATGTTGCCGCAAAACGTGCATTTTAATGAATACGAGCCTCATCCAAGGCGCCAACTTCCTCGTAGTTCAAAAAGTCGTAACAATTTTAGTAAATGATGATTTTGTAACATAGATGGCATTCATCGCGCTTCGCGCGCATAAGCTTTGACTCAAAGCCTATCGCGTTATTATGAATTTAGAAACTTGCGCTCGATAAAGAGATAACGACCAATCACAACAGGCAAGACATCCTTTTTTCAAAAGAGGAAGATGAGTATGAAACAGCTTATCGTTGCTTTAAAATAATGCAAGTTTATTCTCGTCATCTAGTTTTATTTGTCTTTCGATGAAGTTTTTTCAACATTGATATGCAAAGTTCCGAAGTAGTTAGACTCATAAGAAAAATCGCACATCGCAATTATATAAGCACTCGACGCGCATATTTGCACATCACGTACGATATGACGTTAATAGAAGTCGATTTATTCGCTTATGTATATCGAACTTATGAGGTGTATTTTTTTTTGTGCTCGATCACGCGTGCGCACGATTCCGATGAAATTTTATAATAGCCTTTCGTTAATAAATCGATTCGTATATCTGTAGGCGATGAGTACGTTCGCGCCCGTTTCGGCCAAAATAATCGAAAATTTCTCGCGTTCGCTGGAATTGCTCCTGACGCGAACACTACTATTAAAGTTAGTTTTTGCGTGTTTTCCATGACATGCCCATTTCCCAAACAAATGTGCATTCTTATAACGGTATAGCTGCAGCAACGCAATTATAGTTAATCTTTACCAAGAGTATAGAGTCGCGCTTATACGCGCCGAGGATATTGCGTGTTTGCTTTATATCTACATTATAATTAAGCGCGCGTGCGAAATTTAAAATCAAATCCCCCCCTGTCTGTGTTTCGCGCTTTGTATATATTTATTGTATACGCGCTTTTGCTTATGCCATTCGTGCGAAATTGCTTTTGTCAATGTATACCAAAGTTAAACTTTATTATTACGCCCGCGCCTGGTGTCATTGATTATTTATTTTGCCTTCGATAATATCGAATTAATGCGCAAGTAAAATTACACATAAACTGAGAATTCCGATTCGTGCCGGCGTTATTCGTTATTCCGCGTTTACGCGTGCGCACGGGTACGATATCTGTCTATGTAACGTTCAGAATAATAGGTCAAAAAGTCACTCAACGATCGCAAGAGAGAAACGCGTGCGAAAGAAAAAAACAGCTCCGATACCGATCCCGACTTACTATATTCGTATACCAAAGCTTGCTCGGCTCCAAGATTATGCTTGCGAGCGTAACTTCTTTTATGGAAAAGCTAGCTCACAAATTTAGCGCACGTGTGTTTATGCTCGCGCTTTATGCCGAGCCTGCCACAAGTACGCAAAAGACCAAGGAAACAAAGTGCGTCGAGAAAAAGGGATTTGCCCGAGACAGAGGAATATAAGCTTTGACTCGCGCCCGCTCCCTCGCCCCCTGTGCCGAGCGGTATATAAACAATAAAAAAAAAAACACGTCCTGGACTTTCATTTAATTAGCCCCCTTTTTCTTCTCTACTTTCTTCCTTTTAGAATTTGCCTCGGGCTTGTGCATGGCGCGGGAAAAGAGGCTTTTTTATATTTATTCCGACTACTTCGCCTACATAAACTAGGCTGGCAAAAATAATACAACTTTCTCTCTCTTTCTCTTTTCTTTATACGCCGAAATCTCACCGCGGGCCGCTTGAATATTCTCTGCACGATTTACAGACAGAGAAAGAGCGAGAGAGAGAGAGAGAGAGACAGAGAGTCAATTTGGTTGAATGAAATTCTCGATGAAAGAAAAAACAGCTGCCCGGATTTACACCGATTTCGAGCTTTCAAAGTATATAGACTAACTACATAAAAGTTTTCAGGCCGCAACGGTGGAAGGGGTAGATAAAGAGATTTCCCACCGTGTTGCAATGAAATTTTTATCTCGACGCTTTTATTTTTTGCTGTATATTCTTACGAAACCTAAACCTCATGTATTTACTCGATTTTTGTGTGTTCGCAGGAATGGACAGATTACAACCTCCAGTGGAACGAGTCAGAGTTTGGGGGTGTGAAAGATTTGAGAATCACGCCCAGCAAACTCTGGAAGCCGGATGTGCTCATGTACAACAGGTAATGTGTTCTTTATCTACTCCCCCCCCCCCTCCGCTCCCCTACATCGCCACCAATACTACGTCTACTCTGTCCAAGATTTAACGACCAATTACGAGTCTATAAAAAAAACACCCCCAAAAAAATAACCTTCTCGAATAAAAATCGAAAAAACAAAAATGCAGATGTACGTAAGATGATACAGAGTATCATCGATGTAATACTTATTTCAAAAATAACTGAATTGTTAGAAAACTTGCGTTATACGATATTGTCGAATACCTGTCGACGCGCATGAAACTCGACGCCGCGTCGCACTTGTGTCTCCGAAGGCTGCTGCCGCGCGGCGGCCCTAAATATCGAGATTCATGCGTGCCAGGAACTTGTTGCTCTCTCACAGGCTTTGGACTGTTTCAGAAGACAAAATAACAAACAAAAAAACTGAGGCCTCCTCACTACCTCCGCCTCCGCCCAACTATTTCACGCAGGCGCACCGGACGATAACAATATACCAAGCTTCGATTTCTTAAAAAAAAAAAAAAGAAAAAATAATAATATCGTCTCGTTTGTTTTTGGTTAATTATTTTTGTTTTTTTTTGTATATATAAATTATTCTTTACTGTAGTCGAACATTTTCTTATAATTCTTTTTTCTATCAAGTATTTTAATCAATATAATGTAACACTAATCCCTTTAGCTTTATGAGTAGTTTTTGAAACGTTTGAATTTTTTTGTTTCATTTTTTCAATCTTTATCATTATCAATAAAATTACAATTCGATCTAATTCCCGTAATGAAACCCTCTTTCTATTATTACACTTACGTATATTATCTCATATTATATAATGATTATATATAATATGCATTACATCAGATATATATAAATCATACACTTTTCGATTTTCTTAGAAATATGGCTTCTATATTATTCTTATTATACATCAATACTTACTATTATTGTAAAGAGATTCATTCTTTTATGCATACTCATAATAATTTTGAACAAATATATTTTTCATGAAATTTTGGAACGCGACAAAAACTCACGCAAATATATTCTGTGTATCATACATTGCTTTGCTTTTGTAATTTTCTCTTAGAGAAAAAAACACATACTCATGAGTACTCTGAATTATTTATGCCTCGAAACAGATTTTTTTTCTCTCTCTCTTTCTCTCATGACACTGAGTACTTATACTAACCACTTATATAATTGCGCTGCTGCATGCCTCTATAAACTTGACTCTATTTCTTACGCTACGTATGAATTATGCATACACCATAATATATTAACACAGAGATTAAACACTCACACACATACATACAAAAACACGAAAATTATTTCAATCTTGGCTGCGTATGTTGTCTGGATTGATTTTTCTTTAACATGTATATACTATAAACAATCGTACGTTTTATTTTCGTAAAATAAATTTCATTCTTACTTTTTCTAATAGTTAAAAAATTGTAAATTATAAATTATATAAATTATTTTTTATATCTTGCTCATCGTTGTCCTGTACAGTAGTTTTGTAAATTTGGAAACCCGTAGATGTTTTAATTTTTCTCAATTATTATCAAAATATACGCATCTCTCGTAATTATTCAGTAGTACGTATCAACGCTATAGTCGGCCACGACACGCGAGATATCTTTATCTCTAGTGTGCTACATCACAAAATTTACTAGTATATAATATAAATAATAATGTACAGGATAAGCGCGTCGCGTTGAGCCATAAATTTCTCTCTAGTGTCTCTTTCGCACACACAGAGTGTGATACAAGCATTAGTATATTGTCTAAACCAATTATCATTTTTCATACTCGACAAAGCCAATCATATAAAATAATTCACTCAAAGATCATCATATAATACACGGAGGATTGATGTAAACCGAAAGATAAATTTGAAACGGTTTCGAATTGTTTTCGGCGTCAATCAAACCTCTCTTCCATGCAATATCTCTTAAGCTTTCACCAAAGATTTTTTTAGTTTTCTTTTTTTTTTTTTTTTTTGCTTTAAAAACACAAGCTTTTCACAAATCTAGCTTGTACAAAAGAAATAAAATCTTGTCCAATATTTATATATTATTAACTAGTTGTTAGAAAATTAAAATATAAGTCACAATGACATAAGATGTAGATGTTAACAGGGTTAAATATCTATATCTATATGTAATAACAGCTGAAGGGTGTGGTCGGGGCAAAAGTGCGAGGCTCTCGAGCGATAGGGCTTATACACGCGGTATAAGTGGCTCTTTTAATTCGCAATAGCAATAACAACGCTCTATATAGCGAAGGCTGCACGCGGCTTTTTATTGCAAACTTTTCTCTCTTTCTCTTGCTATCTTTCTCTCGTTCGTCTCTCGTATAGCCCTTATCGCACGAAGGCCTTGGCGCTTATCCCCCGAACTAATTATAACGAAAAGAGCTCGACTATATACGGATCCCTCTCACACGAGAGCTGTGTGTGTTATATATCTCTATACCTTCTGACCCTTCTGGCAAAGGTTAATGACTCATATAGACTCTGTGCTGCGAAGCTGTGCTACTCTCTATGCATGTATACGAGTACATACAGCTTTATATATCGTGTACTTGTGTGTGTGTGTGTGAACACGGTTGCAAGCTGCCAATCTATGCATCGCGCGCGGCTCGCCCTGCGCACACGCGAGGATTTAATGTGTTATTTCGAGGATCGCGCGCTCGACTCGTCGATAATGGAATTAGCTTCTCTCTTGCCCAAATTGACGCTAATACGATTAAAGCAACTATCGCTCTTTCTCTCTCCATCTCCTGCACTCGACAATGTAACAGATAGACTGGGCGTGCAACGCGAGCTCGAGCAAAACACGCCGGTGCGCATTGACGCATTTTTCGTCTGGTATAGCACTTGTTAGCGCACAAGCTACACGTTTAGCTTTTCTTTGTCGCTAGAAACAAATAAGCGTATCTCCGTGGTGGAGCGAAAAAAAAGGAGGGAGCTCGGGACGCTCCGTCATGTGCGCGAGATGTGTGTACATCGCAAGTTAAATTCCCGTTTCCGATGTGGCTTTGGCAAATTCGATCAAGTCAACTGGCTGTTGCGCCCTCGCGCGGATCGAGCCTGCCTCTAGAAAGGGGGGGAGAGGGTAATCATAATCGAAAATGCGGTACACCTCACGTTTACCCTCGTGTACCTCCCTCAGCCGTGTCGGGCTGGCTGCTGCTGCACTGCTTGCTGCTGCCGCTCGTACATTCGTACGTGTGTATGTGTGCCTGGCTCGTGTACAGGGCAGAGGGATGCGGTGTTTGCTGATCCCTACGGGGCGCAGGATGACTGCTCGGCAGCGTGCACGAGCACCTGTTACACGACCTATACAGCCACTGCGCCACTAATACTGCTACGTATATACGTACACGGGGCCGGGCTCGCGAGCTCTCGAGTGCTCGCTGGAATTTTGATGATTTACCATTGGCGGCGCGCGCCTATGTGCACGCGCGCACGACTCTCCGAGTCTTTTTTCCATTACTCAAAAAATTGCACCGTCGGGACGAAGCTCCGCGTGTATGCACTACTACTGGCACTGTGGCTATTATTTATTTTTTATGTGCTGCTGCGCCGCGCACGAGCGTTAAACGTCACTTGGACGGCAAAAAAAAAAAAAAAATGATAACGTACGATCGCGCCGAGCAGCGACATTACAATGCGGCCCTCCTACCTACGTACGGCCAAATTTGTGTATGTGCGCATGAAATATTATGTGTATGTGTATATAGCACGACCATCTGCTAAGAGAGTCAGCCTCGGGCTGAAACTTTATCGTCGGAGTTGCTGCTTCTCCCTCTCTCTCTCTGCGTGCGCTGCTCACTGGGCAACTTTGTTGTTGTTGTTGTTGTTGTAAAGGGTAATGCACGTGCAGTTACATTCGAGTGTTTCATGCACATAAATACATACATACAATATATATACATATAAGCATTGGCTCGATAAGAAGATTGTCTGCTTGTGTAAGCTCGTGCCGGCGTGAAAATTGAAGAGTAGCTCGTCCTGGGCGTTCGTTATATACAACAGCCGCGAAAAGCCACTCGTCGCTCTTGCACCAAGATCGCCTATAAGTATATTATTCACGCAAGCGATGTCGCGAAAGCTCGCGAAAGCTCGCGAAGATCGTATCGGAATCGCTGTTCTTCGTTTATACTCTTTTCCCATTCGTCTCGTTCGCTCGCTCGCTCCTCCGTCTCAAAACTTACCGTTTCCCATTTCAAACAATTCCAATTAGATCCGTTGGACGATTCGTTTATCGAATTTCTCCTGCTCGTCAGCAGTGGCCCGATATCGGCCGCCGATAATGCCTTCCCCCGCCGCGCTCTATACCCATATATAAAACGATGTACAAAGCTCGCGAGAAAGCCGAGTAAATAAAATAAATTTACTTTTTCGCTCGCCGCTCTCTGAATGGATATGTAATCATTTCTTTCGTGTCGCTCTTTTGCGCTGGAATTTCCTCTCCCTATATTTCAACGCGCGACAATGAGCAAAGATGGAGAGGAAGAGTCACGATGCTGCTCAAAGACAGCGCACTATAACCTATGTATATATATATTTCGAGAGCTTTTAATCGAACGTGAAGTGTTCGACCGTCTCTCTCTCTCTCTCTCTTTCTTTCTCTCGTCCTCCTAGCTCGTATATAGTATGGAGCTGTCTCGCTTGCCTTAATGAATGGGCGAATAGGCATCAAAGGCTCCTCTCATTACTTCTTGACACTGGAAAATAGATGCCCTCGACGAGCCGACTCTCGGGCACGCGGTATAGCCCCGGAGCAGCCAAGATTGACGTTACAAAATGTCGAATGTTATGCATTAGCTGGCATACGCTGGCAACGATGGTGAGAAGACAAAAATAGAAGAGCAGAGACAGAGTCGAAACGTCGATGGTACTCCGATCATTATTCAAAAGAACAAAAAAAGACAGATGAAAAAATAAATGTGGATCGCCTTTTGGCTGGCTATACTAAATTGTCGTAATTATGGGAACGAG